CAACTGATGCACGTCGACTTAATTAGGTGTCTTTCACAGTCACAATTTCATCAAGCAGCTATATAAAATTCAATAGAAGGCTGGTTCGTTTATGTTTCGATATTTTAGGTTCTATTGATAGACTTTGAAACAAACGACTTGGTGCAATTGGGTAGGTATAGTTCAGGCATGGGCAACCTTTCCTGGTTCTGGGACCAAATTATCATTCTCTCTACGAGTCAAGGGCCAAACTAAATGGGCCATCGCGTGTGTTTTTATGTCTCAATATATTAATATCTCCAATGTAATGTTGTATGTGATTATGTGATTCATACAACTTTGGTTAAATATTAAATAAAGAAGGTTAGTATATTAAGTAAAATTATAAAACGAAACACTATACTATTTAATCAGTACGTAGAGGACCGGATTTAAAGACTTCGCGGAGACGGATCGCGGGCCATGTCCGACTAGCCGTGAGCCGGCTGACTCCGGCGGGCCGTGAGTTGCCCATATGTGGTATAGTCGATGGAAGCGATATAGCGAAGTCGTGAAATTAGTCAGGCGTCGAAATATGTAGGCGTAATCCGTGCGCCAAAACAGCACTTCGAGGGAGATAATGAGTTCCTCCTTAATAGGAATATTTAGGTTCCTCCATTGCAGTGTATTTAAAAAATTTGTCTGCGCCTCATTGATAGCTGCAGATTAATTTTTACCAATACGGGAATTACTATTAAGCAGGAGGCGACGGAGACTTATTTCAAATGGAAGATTGAAAGCAGAAATTTTAGGTATCAGTTCACAAATAACAAACGACACGGAGCACTGCTACATCAATCCGTATCGCCGTTTAACGCTTTAATTTACGATCCCGCTATGTCGCTTCCACCAATTTTACCGAATGATTCCGCTTGTCGTTGTTTAGCATTGACAATGGCACGAATAAAAAAACATCAATTTTACATGAAACAGTTTAAAATTTGTATTTGCTTAATTTATTTATGTATTTATTTATTTAAATACACAGGTCGAGTAATCCTGTGGTATATAAGGATACATGAGCGTTGCTGGTTTAAAATGAAAAAGATGGATCATCTAAAATTGTGTAAATTGTTGGCAAAACAGTCAAGAGACTGACAAAGGTGTTAAATATTATACAAAGGCAGTTAATACAACTATATTGGCCGTATAGCGTGTGGTGAGTTTCAATGAAAAAAGGTGTGTCACGTTTGAAATCTCTAGATCAGGGTCGTTTAAGCAACACTTTTCCTCACGTTGCTCACGGACAGCGCTGCGGGGAAAACTAGGGGCAAGTGACGTGGGCAGTCGTTGAAGCGAAGTGGGGAATAATAGGTGTGGTGGGAGCGTAGGCTTTACCTTTGAAGAATATTTAAGCATTTCCATTCGTACAGGGTGTACAAAAATTAATGGTCACGGCTTCAGGGGGTGAATCTACACCCTTGGATCGGTGGACATTTGCAAAAAAAAGTTTCCGCAAAATTGTTTATAACCTTGAAAATTAATGTTAAATTTTTTTTTTACATCAACGTATTCTGCTCGACGAGAAGAGAAAAAGTCTGAAAGGAGCCATATGCCGCAAACAAATAGTTTCCGAGATAAACGTTGATAAAGTTTGGCAACGATTTGATTGTGTAGAGCTATACGTATAGGACCTACTGACCTACTAACCTACTAACACTCTGCCATTTGGTAGGATCTAGCCGTGTAGGACACGCTTGGTATAATGGTGTGCGTGCCCCTACACAAACGCTGTTTAAAGGGACTGCAAGGTCTAAATTCGAAGGCAGGCCCGAACCAAACAGCGTTTGTGTAGGGGCACGCACACCATTATACCGAGCATGTCCTACATGGCTAGATCCCACCAAATGGCAGAGTGTTAGTAGTTCCTAGTCTATACGTATAGCTCTACACAATCAAATCGTTGCCAAACTTTATCAACATTTATCTCGGAAACTATTTGTTTGCGGCATATGGCTCCTATCAGGCTTTTTCTCTTTTCGTCGAGCAGAATACGTTGATGTAAAAAAAAAATTTAACAGTAATTTTCAATGTTATAAACAATTTTGCGGAAACTTTTTTTTGCAAATGTCCACCGATCCAAGGGTGTAGATTCACCCCCTGAGGCTGTGACCATTAATTTTTTTGCACCCTGTACAGTGCCCCACCACAGGATCCTTTCCCGAGAAGGCGTAGCTTACTGCCCGAGCGAGCCTGACCTCTGCCCTACGGGCAACTTGCTGAGCGGCCCAGCTCTAGATGGTATATAAAGTTTGAATAGAGATAACATTTCTGGACAAATAATAACATTATTAAAAACCTTATAAACAAATAAGGTATCAAACATTACACGTCTCTTTTCCAATGACATGAGGTTAATTTTTAATAAAACTGTCTTTAATGATGACACATTATAGACATGGGGCAACCCATGTAATAGGCTGCTAAACGGAGGAATCTGTGTTGATCGCTTTCCAATACGTTAATGTATTTTTTATAATACTAAATCCATGTTACAGAGCCAAATTCTAAATGAGAACGAACCGAAGAGCAGTGGGGAGCACGTAATGTATCAACATTATGATAAAATTTAGATACTCTAATAATAGTGCCAAGAGGTTTATAGGCTCTCCCTACTATGTAACGACAATGGTCATCAAAAGGAAAGTTTGCTGTAAAATGAATATTCAGGTCACAAATGCTTTGAAGAATCGTCAGTTAGAGACCGCTGAGATTATAGTCGTAATAGTTGAATACTGCTGTGTGGTGTGAATCTAACGAAGTTAGAAATGTGTCATTTCACATAATAAAAAATACCGTATCTATGTAGTCCATTTATGCAGAAAAATAGAAATTGACATATTTTGAATTGCGATATGAAAAGATGAGCACAAAATGTAGAATAAAATTTCTTTATATCTATACAAGATCTTTTCCAAATGGATGCTCTCTAAAATGAAATCTCGTACAAAAAAATGACATATCACACTTTGGATGAATTCTTTCGCAAAATAATCAACATGTGCTTAAGTAGTATGTACATTATCTAGCTACCGTAGAGGAGAGAAACGAGCTTAATTATTCCAAGGATTGCTAGAAAGCGAATTTTTATTTCACCAGTATGTTCCACGCGAATTTTCATAACCATAAACCACGTTCCAGCAGCGTCTTTTCTCTCTCTCACGGGCATCTATTTATCGCGATAAAATCCCAAGCTCGCGTGACCGTGTTTCGTCGTTCATCGTCAAGGCGCGAGATCTCGCGAGAGGGGGTCTCGACTGGAGCGAGGATTTTTTCATATCCTGAGGAATGAAACGAACGAGCTTGCCGGATAATTTGCCGGATTCTTTCGCGGGGTGCTGCCACCGCTGTGTAGCATATTAAATTTCGAAGTAACGTAAGTTACGTACCGCTTCGAAATTTTTCCCACCGTACTCCTGCGGGAGATATGTGCCGTTGAAGCTGATGTCGACTCTATCCAGTTGCTTTGGAATGTTGGGTAAAATTCGTTGCCTTTTGTAGGTTATAATTGAGCGTACAATTTGTGGAAAATGAAATTAGGGATTGCTGTGAAATTTTCTGTCGATTGGCTGTCGAGGAAATATTTGCAAGCAATCACGTTCACCAATAACATTCCACAAATTCGCTAAGTACTAACTGTTTAATTTTTGCAAATATATTTGGGGTTGCTATGAAATTTTGTGCTAATTGGTGGTCGAGAGAATATTTGTAAATACTTAAAAATATGGTTGGACAAATTCGTTACGTAGTAACTCATTAATACTTTCTCTAATTTTTTCCAATGAATTATAGCAATCACCTCCTTTCGCTTTTATAAAAATTCCACCGGAAGAACTAACTCATTAAAACTCACAATTTCTGCGTACACACAGGAATACAATTGTTTCGATATTATATGTACTTCTACTGATACGAATCCATTAACTCAAGTTTAATTTTCCCGAATTAATTATTTTAACGAACCAGTTTTGAATTTATTGTACACTGTGTAGATCGCGAGATAGGAACCGCGTGGAGCAATCGGGTTATTAATGGTGTTTCCCGGGTTTAATTTATCCACGGGACGAGCGTGCGCGTACAGATGCGCGTCGAATCTAATTATCCCGTAAAATCACGCGTTTTATAACACCTCGTTAAACAGTTTATAATCGAATATGCGAATATCGATGAGTTATCAGGACGTCGTTGATGGTTCGCCAATAACGCGCCTTGAAAAATATCGCTATAGTGAAAATTCCCTTATATTTCATTGGATTCCATAGCTTCGAGAGTAATGAAATCCTTTTAAGGAGTTTCTTTCCTATTCATGAACAATCTTATTTATCTTAAATCCTACTTTCAGCATCGATGCAATCTTCATCAAACGTTATTACACTTCCTCAATCGTCTAACATTTGAATCAATAGTATAATCTAGTGACTATATAGAGTTCAGTCAATCGTTCATCGTTCAGGACGATGACAGTATAATCCAGTGCCGTTCAGCAGACCTTCGGGCGGGCAAGGGCACCCGTCGATGCCCGCGGGCAGAGTTAAGGGCGAAGTCGCGGGCTAGTGATGTCACATACATTAAAGTGGAGCGGTGGAAAGACGCTTGTGGTAGAAGAGGTATAGGTCCTTCTTAAGACGGATGATGGTTACTACTTAAACACATACATACATACCCTTCGTTCAAAATAAGAATAACCTCGTTTCGCGCATGGGACGTGCCTAAAGCATGGCTAAAACGTCCAAACCCCCACTTAACCGCCTACGTTTTTCTCCGTCTTACCCTCTGATACGCTCACTGTCTATGCGCAGAACGGACGAAAAAGGGGCCCGAGAGCGAGGTTATTCTTATTTTGAACGAACAACAGATACGCGTACCGTTTCCCGAGAAGGCGTGGCTTATTGCCCGCCGATTTGTTTACGCCCGGGGAAGCCCAACACGCTGCCCGTACGGGCAACGACTGAACGGCGCCGGTATAAGCAATCGAAACCATTTACCCATGATTAATTTGGTGGGTAACAGTCGCGATTGAGAGTTCAAATTCGGAACGCGACGCGCGACACACGAACAAATGCAAAACTATTTTGTATTTGAGAATGATGTAAAGCAGTTACCACTTACCTGAGGGTAGTCCCCATCTTTTCTTTGGTAATCGAACACGTAGAAGTACGTTTTAGGCAGCGGTTCCTTTTCATTGTCAGGTATGGGCGCTATATGAGGATTGTTCGGCTTCTTCGTGTGCCTTAAAGTGAATAGATCACCGGTTTGCACTAACGGAGCTACGAATTGGGCGTCGCTTAATGCCTGCACGCAGGCGTCTTTCGTGTTCACTGGATGTTGCACTGTGCGTTCCCAATCCGTGTATTCGTTCACCACCTGATAAAATAGAAAATCAAAAACAGCTATTAGGACTGTAAAAAATTTCAACCATCAAATGCTATTACAGAAATATACGTATTAGAATTTAATTTTAATAAATAATCTACAATTTTGTTTATTTTTCTTTTTCGAAAGTGAAACGAAGAAGGAAAGATGAGCCGCATAAATAATTTCTATTTTATCGAACATTGAAAAACTCAATTTAAACTATTTTAACAATCAACATCCCGAAGTGATAATCACCGATTTTGACGAAACTTTAGTATATAGTAGTTATCAAAAAAATATTTGACACTCGTCCACAGTGAAGGGACACAGAAGAATAAATATTAAAGATAGAATAGTGTAAATTGACGAATTTTGTATTTTTCAGCAACAAATTTGAAAAATAAAAAGTAATTAAAAAAGTTTGAAAAAGAAATGTTTCGTGTTTAAAGGGGATTTTGACCCATTCAATGTAAACGTTTGCTGATAAAAAAAATACGGGACAAAAATTTTTGTTAGTACTACCATATATCCAAGTTTTATCAATATCGGTGTTTATTACTTCGAGATGTTGACTTGTAACTGGACACCAATTTCTCCTTGAAGCTTCGGAAACGTATGAAAAATTTTGCAGATTTTGGAAAATGGAAAATGTGTGACAAAATTTATATTTTAACAAAAATCAGTCCCGTCAATGTATATATTAATAACAATTAACAAATTTGACAGATGGTGTATTAAATTATTCATCTGTGCACCTAATAAAGAATCATTTAATTGTTTTCATATTACAGAAATTTTTGCAAACTGAAGCTTCACGCATAAAGATTTCCGCGACAGAACGGAACAACCAGGGGCTCGTTTCCTTGCGTTTCATTAACAACCGGTGAAAATTGCACAGGGTTTTTGTGGACAGCGAAAAAAGTTCGGCGTCGCGTAACAACCAGTTTTGCGAAGCGTATCCTGTTTTCGTTGTTCGAGCCTCGCGTTCTTTTTTCCTCTATCTCTCTCGCTCGTTCTCTCTTTTCTGTAACGAAAAACGGACAGGAAGTACGAGCGTTTTCATCGTTTTCACGAAAATCATAACTTTCGCCGGTCAGTTCGGAAACACTTCCACGGTAATAATAAAGTTGTCCACCGAAATACTATTCTTCCATATTGCACTAAGCGAAAAAAGAGAGAGCCTGGAAGTTGTTCGCTATTGTTCACATACAGAATGTCCCTGTAACCACGATACAACCCGAGAAAAATTAATTTGATTCTCGTTTTCAATTTCCAGGAATTTTCTTTGAAAATTATTTTTCATTTCTAAGCGAATCTCAAGGGAAATTAACGAAATTTTTAATTATCCTTCCTTAAGTGTATGACATTTATTAGGGCACCCTGTGGACATAGAGTGTCCCTGTAATCACGACACAATCCGAGAAAAATTAATTTAATTGTCGTTTTCAATTTCCAGGAATTTTCTTTGAAAATTATTTTTCATTTCTAAGCGAATTTCAAGGGAAATTAACGAAATTTTTAATTATCCTTCCTTGAGTGTATGACATTTATTAGGGCACCCTGTGGACATAGAGTGTCCCTGTAATCACGACACAATCCGAGAAAAATTAATTTGATTGTCGTTTTCAATTTCCAGGAATTTCGTTTGAAAATTATTTTTCACTTGTAAGCGAATTTCAAGGGAAATTAACGAAATTTTTAATTATCGTTCCTTGAGTGTATGACATTTATTAGGGCACCCGGTGGACCTAACTCAATTGTCCTAAAACATGGTTAAATTGAAGGAAATATCATGAAAAAATTCTGCTCTGTTCGATTCAATCGTGTTTTCCAAGAAATAGAAAACTGCATCCATGCAACCGAGAGAAAAATGAATTTTTCGCGAAAAATATTTATCCTGGACATTTCCATTCTGCGTATCGAGGCTGGAAATTCTACGATGGAATTTTCCAGCCAGGAAAATTCGAAATATTCCCCCTCCACGATCGTACGATACGAAAATGATGGGACAATTAACGCGCCGTTCGCAGTTAGATAACGTTTTAACGATTATGGATAATTAGACGCGCGAGTGTTATATATTTTTATACGGTTGAGCAGGGATATGCGACGAATTATCCTCCGGGAGCATTATGAAAATAATGCTCGGGAAACGGCCGTGAAATAATCTTCGAAATCGTTGGCTTATCGAAATTTATGAAAAACGAACGACCCAAACGCCGTTAAACGCTCGATCGCGTGTGCCAAGCGTTTACTACCCGTTTTTTAGAACCACTTTTGCCACCACTATTTTTGTCGTCATACTTTTTTTTCTTTTTCCTTCTAAGGGCGAGTGTTTTGTCACGAGATTACGATCACAGTGGGTTAATAGATAAGTCAAGTGGTTTGCAAGTAACGTGAAGAAAAATGTGTTTCTGTTGAGATAAGTTTCGTGCAATATAGCAAAGGGTTGAGTTTCTGTGTAATAGCGTTATCTGGAACGTAACATAGTTTGGTTACAAAGACTGCTAAAAGAATATTTTGTTTTCACTGCTATAGGAAATTATTTTTACCATGATTAATTAAAGAAAATGTTTCGTATGATGTAGTAAAGGTACGTCAAATAATACAGGAATATTCATAATTACAGATCTTTTTTTTTCGAGCATTCTTTTTGAGTAATTAATCCTCAACGGTGTTTTTCGTTTTAATTAAACTCAACAAGGATGAATTGTGAATGGGGAGAAAAATGGTTCTGCTGGAAGTACCAAGGAAATGTTCTAAGTGATGCTATAAAAATAAGTTTCTTTTGTTGTTCTTATTACCGTGTAGAATATTTCCGTGAGATGATAGACGTAAGCATTCCTCACGTACGTCCTGATGATCCTGTCCCTTCTCTCGCCCTCAAATCCTAGTTGAACGTCTTTTTCCGCAAATTTCCACAACGCCTCGCTAGTTGTCACGCCGAATAATAAGTCGTATTTGTTGTTGCTGGTGATCGGGGTACCGTGTTCGGCCTTCTTTGGCAGTGGCCTGTAGCGAAATAGATTTGGGAAATATTTACTTAGTGTTAACTTTCGTTTGAAAGCATGCTGTGCTAGTTTCTCGTTTTCAGTTAGTCCGAGTGTTTGGAAATCATTTTTAAAGTCGAAGTTAGAAATTCCAATAGTCGAAATTTTTAATTTAAATACTTGGAGATTTGAGAATTCTAAGTTTGAAAAGTTTAAACTAGAAAATTTGGAAATTTGAAAAGTCCAAATCTGCAAATTGCAAAATGTCAAAGTTTCGAACGTGGAA